GGGACCAACGATCTAGATTAGAAGGAAACTGTAAAAAATAAACTCAAGCCATCAAGCAAAAATTCCTTTCCCAAACCAATCATCAAAGTACAAAGTCAGGGAAACAGCTGCTCAGAGTCTATCCTTCCTGCTCCAGTGGTGATGGAAACCACTGCAAAGAAATAGTTTGTAAAATAACACAAATCTGAGAGGTAGAGGCAATTTTAGGGATTTCTGAGTCAGCCTCCAAGGATCTACATGGTGCCCACTACAATTTTGGGTGGCTTTAATTATCAGCTAACTCTTTCTTTTTTTTTTTTAAAGATTTATTTGTACATACAGAACTGGGGTACAGGCCAGAGGCTCAGGGGTGGCGAGAGGCTTCACCAGAGACAGAGTGGGGAGCAGAACAGGCAGATCGACGAAGTACACTGTTGAGGGGAGCAGCGGGCGGGTCAGGAGAGGTCTGCCGCGCCATGTGGTCACCTCTGGGGCAGGCGGGAATCGAACTCATGTGAAAGTGGCTTTAACTTCTCAGTGCTGTGCTTTAACCCGCTGTGCCACCAGGGAGGGCCAGCTAACTCTTTCTTAATAAAATCATCCATCTTAGGGCTTTCAAAGTTATTTTGATTGAGTTGTAGAAATTGGGGAAGTCATCCTAGAATGTTGGCTTCTATTTGGTTCATGAAAAAATTATTCATATTAAAATAATAAACCCAACACTATAACTAGAAGTGTTTCCAGGAGAATTGATTTCCCAAGCCCTGACTGCTTCTTTCCTTCTATTAAGGGTTAAAGGAGAAGTGACAGGCAGAGGGAAGAAGTGACAGTGTCTTCTGAAAGGTCTGGGGAGTCTGTTCCTTTATGAACCTGGCAGCTAATTTGGTGTCCCATAATCTATTTAGAGAGGAACCTGGCTATAGTTCTAGTCATGAAGCCCAATGTTCCATGAAGAGTCTCTCCCTACTCTGAATTTCTCACCTGGAAATACTTTTCTGATTGTAAAAGTTACTCAACTGTTTTTTTTTCTTTCCTCTAAGATAAAAGACACTTTAAATACAATTTTGCAAGGTCAGGATATCTTTAGAACTTGGAGAAACTCTGGAACTCCACAGAACTAGCTAAGCTGAGCAGATCTCAGCCAACCAGCCCCATTGTGGTTGATGTCCCCCAGCGTCTCGCGCCCACGGCTCTCCTTTTCAGTAGAAGCAAAGAAACATCATGAGTGAGGGGAACCAGGCCGATTCTTTCTTTACAACAAGTTTTTATTTATCCTTTTCCTTGATCCCCCCCAAAACATTAATAGTTCTTTCTTTTGTTTTTAACGGTTTTCCTTTTGGATCCAAACGAGCATTTATATTACAGGGTATCCATCTGGTCAACATGCAGTGCTGAGCTCTGGCTTAGGAGTGACACACCGATACTCTGGACAGGCCAGCACTGTGCCATTCAACAGTGTCACTGGAGAGGCACCCGCCCAGCCTACCACCGTGGCTGCTGCCCACATGGAAGTGTCCCATGCAAAACTGTCACATTTTGTAATTCAGGTGGCGGCGTTTTAATGTCCAGAGGCAGAGTGCCCAATATCCCTCTTGACCCCATCTGACAGGCTCATCCACACAGGGAATGGCCTGACCTTAGGTCGCAAAGGACAGAGGGCATGACCGAGACACCCTGTGGTCCATACCCTCTTGAGGTTATCCTTTGGGGCCAGTACCGGTGCACCCTGTGAAATTCAAAATTGATTCCTGATAAAGCGCACCCCTAATCCCCCTTACCCTTCTTCCCTCCCAGGGCATTTACACCACTAGGAAGATCTGATATCTCTCCACCATGGCCACTACCCTACTGAAAAGTCAAGATCATGAAGATTGTCTTCTAGCTTCTTTAAAGCAAGAACCTCCTTTCTCTCCATCTCCCAGATGTGGATACATCTTTCAGGGACCTGTAAAACCTGAGGCCTTCAGCTGTACTACTTTAGGTGAGTTTCATGGAAAGAACCCTAGGAATCCAGTGTCATGCTAATATGGTCCAAGTATAAAAGTCTGGGTGAGGCACTCATGTTGGAGCCCCCTGCCACCCCTTTTTGGGCCTCACTGTTGTTTTCAGCCTCAACCTGGTCTTAGTCCTACAGCTTCTCTTCCCAGCCCTGATCCCAGCTGTCCTTGCTAGGACATGCCAAGCACACTGGTGCATTCGATTTTTCTCTTCAGTTTGTTTTTCTGGATGCCTGCCAAATTTCGGACTCGGTTTGAGTGGAGTTGGATTGCTCTCTAATGTCACCAAGAGGGAGGCCCCTCTGCAATTGCAGCACTTAGGGTGGCTTTGTATAAATTTTGGCTTGTTCACAAAACACCAGGATAGAAAAATACTGATTGAAGTTTGGCTTGCGGCTAAGTATATATCCCCATTGTTAGCCATGAAAATTCAATACGAGTGTTTTTACTAAATCTGCTGGGATCTGCTTAATGTTATACAACTTCGTATCAAATGTAACTAAGACCAGAACTACTGCATACTTTGATTGGCAGTTAGGTTACACTGGTTAGCCCTCATTGCCTTTTACCTTTATTTTTAAAAATTGATTAATGGCACTTTAAAATTTTGGAGTGTTTTTCCTGCTCATCTCTTTTAGAGATTTCTAGTAGGCTAGCGTTGAGCAGTGGTTCTTTTGCAGTACAGGCTACCACTGTAAGAAGTCAGAGTCCTGGAAAGATAACTGAGTGACCAAATAAGGTCAAATTTGGCTTTGGCAACTTTGACTTGTAATCCTCTTTTGGGGGGTCCCTCTCTATGTGAACAGAGGAAGAAGTGGTACCACCTCATCAAATTCTAGAATGTGGCTTCAGAATACAGAAATAGGTCCATTTTTAGCTCTGACAAACAGACACAATAAAAGAGAGGAAAGACTAATGCAGAATTCCAATACTGGGAGCAGAGGTCTCAGTGAGAATCCTAAGTGTGTGTTTAAGACTGGCTTAAGAGTCCACCTGGATTAAGACACTTAGATATTCTGAGCATGAAAACTCAACTTCCTTCCTGAATTAAAAAATAAAAACAACTATTATTATTATTATTAGAGCGATAAGAAGGAAAGGAAGAGAAATTAGGAAAAGTAGTATGGAATTAAAGTAAATCCTGGATTCAGGTTCTATTAAACGTGAAATTTCTTGAAAAAAAGGATACGCTATATCTTAATACATACAAGGAGTGGAGGTTATCTAAATTGATTTGTGGGGACTATGTGCTTTAAATGATGTGTTACTTACAAACATACTAGCCAAGCACTAGTACTTCCATCTTCCTAACAAGGAAAAAGGCGCAGCAGTGCAAGACCCTCACTGAAGGCACAAGTTAGCACAGAAGGCTGGAATAGAAGTGATTAATTTTGACTTCCAATAATCTTCATTTACCTTAAAATTTCTCATGAAGACATACATTTCATATTCATTGGTTAAAGACATCCTGCCAAGAATCTGGATCCATTCTATCATTTCCTTCACTTTCACTGATGTTTTCAGGCAGTTTTTCATTAAATCAGGTTATATTTAAGTCCCTAGGAGGAGACACCAAGGTAATAACTAAGAAACAGGAAACAGAGGCTGACTTAGGAGAAAAAAGACAAAAAGGAAACCAGAGAGAGACAGAGCTAATATTAGGTAACCTTAGATTTTTTACAGAAATAATGTATCATTAAATTTGATGGAATTTATTTCCCAAAGGTTGCTGATTCGAAAGTTTCATAGATAACAGATTGATCATTCTTTGCCTTTCTAGAGCAGGTCTGTTCCCCCAAAAAACCCCACCAAACAAAAGGCTGCAAATAGAAACAGAAATGCTTTTAACTCTTTTTATGTGACCTACTCAATTCTTCCATTATCCCAGAAATAATAATTCAAACCTCAATAATATATTTACATAGAAGCATGGCTTATTATAAAATCTTTTTGTAATTAGAAGATCAAGAGACTAGCCCCCCACCCACCATGGAAGCAAGATGATGAAAGTGGAAGGCAGTTTGCTTCTCTCCCACCTCACCAGCCCCCATGAAACTCTGAGGAGGCCCCACCCACTTTTCTCCACCAGCTAGATGGAGAGAAGCTTCCCAGCCCTTCAGTAGTTGGGGACCATCTATGGATGTGGTATCTTTGGTGTGGAGTGATTTCTGGGATGCAAATGCCTCTGACAGTCAAAGCAGAAAGGGTTCAATGGCAGAGCACGATGGCCCCTAGAAGCCCAATAGAGTTCTTTCTGATCCCGGTCTTTGATTCCCACAGGTGACATGTCTCTTACAGGCATGTGGCAGCACATTGCACCTGAAGGTCTCCTCAGGAGTGTCACTGGCCTGACCCTGCAGTCAGAAGCCACCAGCTGTAGCTTTGCTGGGGCATACCTGGCCCTAGCAGAACAGGAGTGCAGCAAAATGAAAAAGACACAACTACGGACATAGGCAGTGCTTGTGAATGTGGAATCTCTGATCTACCTCATGGACAGGTGAGTTCCTGACTGCTGAATGACCTGTGTTAGGCTTTTGTTAAGAGTCTCAGGGTAGAGATGTTTAAGTGGTCAAACTGGGCCCGCTTTCCTGTAGAGAAAAACTGACTGGCCATTTTGAGGAGCTGCTTTCCTCATGTCTGCATGCATCATGACGTCCTCTCCTGAACCTCCTCGGCAGAGCACGACACCCAGGACCCAGGGTCAGGGAGCAGGGGATAGCACAGATGACAAGGAGAAAAAGTTTCCTGCAAGGGAGGGTCGTGCATCCCATCACAACTCTTCACAGCACCAGACCTCTGAGGGTCTCAAAAGGTACAGCCATGAGACTGATTAAAACAAAAAACAATACCAGCAGTGGATCTTTCTTAACCTTCAAGTCTCACAAAATCCCTGCAAGTTAGGTGACTATCTGTTCCTTTCCTGCTGTCTGTATGCCATTATATACATCCTGGCATATTGATCACTGAACAAATCCTTAATTAAATCTCCTGATTTGCCCCTGGCTTGGCCCCATAGTACTTTGCATTGGCTCTTTTTTTTTTTTTTTTTTTTGTCCAAACTTTAGAAGTAGGATGGAGTGAAAATGTTTTCTTTAAAAAAAAAAATTATGTCAATTATGCCTGCAGAGAACTTTTTCCTATAGAGGGTTTTTATGGAGTCTGTACACATTTTGTCCATAATCCCCCTCGCACAGTCCTGTGCCTTTCATTCTTCGTCAGATCATCTTGTGACTCACATAATGAATTCCCAACTGTTTTTCATGAGAAGAATGTGTACTCCAATAGCAGAGAGACCAGCAGAAGCAGGCAGGTGAGCAGCTAAGCTGGGATCTGATGGACTTAGCCATGTTGGGAGTTGAACCAGAGGCACAGAAGCAAAACAAAGGCTGGGGAGGGGAGGGAGGCTGGCTGACTAGAAGGATGTGGAGTTTCTCTTGCCATCACCGGGCAAGGAAGTGCACAATGTAGAAGGTCTGAAGTTCAGCCCCAGAGAAGTGTTGTGTGTGACCTCAGTACCCAGGGGCATGAGAGAACAGAGATTCTTCAGCTAGCACAGCAGGCCTATACAGTTGTGTTCATGGCTGGGGCCACTAAGGGCACTGTCGCTTCTTGGTAGAGATAACCCTTTCCTGACCGTGGCCTAGAGTTCAGGGTGCTGGCCCCCATGTTGAAGGTGGGCTGGTGCTCTGCCCCTTTGGAGACAGAGAGAGGAAGAGACATAGCAATTCCCCACCAGAAGTCTGGGGCCTCATATGGAGAGGTGAGCACACAATCACGTTGAGAACCTGCCTGGAATGGTTTTCGTTCCCCCTTCCTTTTGCACACTGCCCCTCCAGTGCTTGTTTAGAGGAGATGCTGAAGATTAACAGTGGCAAAGCAAACTGGGCGCAAAGCTAAAGATTCCTCTGAGGGACCTTATTGCATTAAATGTTACGTGTGGATCTGAGCCTACTTTTGCTTAGAGGGTCTGAAGATGCTGTTGAGATATAAAGGGACCTCTTTTTAAGGGCTGAGAGGAGGTGGTTTCTGGTGCCTACAAAGGACTGTCCTGGCCCACTGTTGGCGGGCAGGTTGGAATTCATATCTATTCAGAGATGGAAAGATGTCATATTATGAGAATGAGCTACTTGACTTAATAGAAAATTCTTTTTTACTTTCTGATCTTCATAGAAGGGTAAGTGCAGGCGAAGTGGTAAGAAACTCAATTCCTTGGATCAAGGAAACAAGTTCATGAATTCATTGGTTCTAGAAAAACCCAGGTGGTCAGTCAGAGACTGCATCTCTGGTGCTTTACATCACTTTATTCAGGCCTCAAACACTTGTGTCTGAGTTTAAGGGATTTGGGCGACTAAGAATGTTTCCTAGCACAGTCAATTTAGTGTTTGTAACATTGTGTACAGGCAAATTCCACTTCTGGTAATTGCTCTGCCAGCCTAAATTTCTCCCACTGTTGAAAAGGCATAAGGTATCACTGCTGTTCTCTCTCAAAACACAATGCAATAGACACGCTGGCTCAGAATGGCTGTCCTGTTGCAGGCCTGTCCCCAGGGAAAGCTGTAGTTCCAAGGTGGAAGAAAGCAATTTTGTGCACACAGAGCAGCACTTCAGCAGAAGATGGTGCTGAACAGAGGAAACCTTTCCAACACTACAGGGTTCAGCATCTGAGTCTTATGTAACTATCATGTTGGTTGGGATTGGGGTGCTCATATTCCCAGCTCTCTCTGGCACGCACGTGCTGAGCAGGAAAGTGACTCCAACCACATGACTGGATTTGGGGGCTGATGTCACTATTTCAACCCAAACAAACAAAAAAAACCCCTACAAACCAGAATTTCCTCAGAAAAAAAGAGGTCTTCTAAGATAAGTAGCAACCACTGCCTGCTCCTACTCCAGAGTCTGGGCTGGAGGAGGATAACAAAGGTGCTTATCTGCTGTCATCTTTGTCCTGGGCCTCTGAATCTCCCCTGGGAGGCAGGTTCCACCTGGCCCTTGGCTGGAAAAGGGTGAACCTTCCATACCGCTGTTACAGGCCTGGAGGGTAAGGAGGGACTTCCGGGGATGGTACCTTTCCACCAGGTAAAGACAGTGCCATGTTGGAGCCAGTAGATACTCGATACTGAAGGACACCAATTAGCTGAAAGGGCCCACTTTCTGAGTTTTCAGGGGGTGAGGAAGGATATGGGCCTCAGGCTGTTGTCTGTCCAGCTCTTATTCTAGGGAGGGGACAAACCCAGAGCTTGGTTTTGTCACATTGTGTGATGAGGCCCTGTCAGAGCCCGCTTTGCTAGAAGGAGCAGCCCAGGCTGAAGCTGAGGTATATTTACTAATAACCTTGAAGTAGCTTGACAAACTGACCCGCAACCACCAACCAGCTGCAGAAGCTGCCACCATTGGTCCCTCCTTGCAGGAGGTCCTAGGGAAGTGCAGACTGATGCTCATGAAAGCTGCTCATTTCTCTCGGCCTTGCCCGTTTCAGTAGGCGTCCCTACTAGGCAACGTGTGACCTGCCTCAGGTACCTGTATGGACCCTCTCTAGGGAGTGGCAGAAGGCTGGGCCTTGGGCTGCCCGGTGGAGAGGCCCATTGGGGCCAGAGTGTGGGCTCTGACACTGAGCCACTGTGTGCTGGAGTGACGGCCGCCCCGTCCACCGGCAGCATGAGTTCTGTACTGGCTGTACTGTGTCCTCCAGCCACACTCGGCTCACCCGCCGTGTTCCCTATGTATCTATGCGGTAAAGGCCTGACCTGGGGCTCCAGCACTGAGGTTGGACTGCACTCTCTTCAGCTGGCGCCCTGGCCAGAGCGCTATTAAATGCTTTTCCAAAATGACCCATCCCAGAGCCATAGGCACCTCTAGGGCCCCCTTAGCCCATCCTGGTGCTCACACACAGCGTCTACTGTGTACCAACAGTCCTGCTCCCCTCAGGACCACCCTCTCCTCCGTGGCGTGGCTGCTGGGCTATGGCTTTGCTCATCCAGACCAGCCCTTGCTGCTGCTGCCACAGCACCCTGACCCTTCTGTGGCAGCTTGTTGTCCCTCTCTGGCTCTCCCACCTTGGCAGCCGGTGCTCCTGAACTTAGCCTGTGCTTCTTGGGGCAACAAGTCACAGGAGGAAGCATGAGATGCTGCTGTAGCGTCCTGGCGGCAGTGGTGCGGTGGGGGGAGGAGAGTCCTCTCCCACAGTCTCCACGGCTCCCCAGGGAAGAGCCAGAAAGTCTTTCAGGCTTCTCGGGGCAGTACGCATAGACACAGCCTGCTTGATTCCTCCACAGCCTGCAGAAACGTGGGAAGAGGCAAGGGGAAGCACAGCCATCCTCATGTCCTTTCTCCTAGTGGGAATAACCCTCCATGTTCTTGGAATTTCTTTCCCCAGCAAAGAGGCAGAACTATGGCAGTGCCCAGCTTGCAGAGGGGAAATAAAGCAAGTTGGTGGGTTTGACTGGTTTGTCTTTTCCTTCCTCTGTCATTGCACGGTATCTTTCCATCTTCCTCCTCCCTCTTCCTCCCCCCCGGGCCGCACAGGCTTCCCAATTCAGTCTTGGTTTTCTCCATGTGAGAGAAGAGCATGCATCGGAGGGGGGAGCAGCCTCTAGCATTTGTCATCTTCTTCCGTGTCACTGAGGAGGTCGCTGACAGCCCCGCACATCATGCCCGGCCCGGGCCCCCCACGCCTCCGCCGCCGGTAGTGCCCATTGGGCATCTGCCAGCTGTGCCGCAGGGGTGGGGCCGAGCCAATTGTGTTGGAGCGGCCCAGGCTGGTGGCTACCGCCGCTTCGAAGGTGAGGGTCTCCTCCTCACCACAGTCCGAGGCGTGGGAGTCTTCGTGCAGGGCCAGGTAGGGCTCGGAGATGTAGCGCTGAGGGGAGGCAGGCTGGCCCTGCTGTGCATGCCGGGAGCTGGAAGACTCGGTCAGGCCGGCCTCGTTGCTCTCCAGAGCTTGGGAGGCCAGCGGGGAGCTGCCCTCACTGCCATCTGCGGGGGGAGAGATGCTCCCTGTGTGTCGCATCAAGGAGCTGTAGGAAAGGAGGGGCCGAGGCTTGGGAGGAACGGGTGGGAGCTGCCGACGACTTCGCCTTGGGGTGCTGGTGTCCGAGATGGAGGGAATCGAGCTTTCACTCAGGGAGCCTGTGCCCTGTGCAGTGGGAGAGAGACAGCCAGCTGAAACTGGGTTTGTCCTGATCCCTATTTGGGACCCTATCAAGGTACCCAATGCCTCCCAGAGCGCTCTGGAAGTCTAGGGCAGGGAAGTCTGAGCTGGAGTCTCCTCTGCTATAACACATATCTTCTCAGGGGTGTGGGGGCCAGAGACAGAGTGGTGGACGTCAGCTACACCAGGGCATGGCCACTGCTAAAATACTAATATGTTCATCTGCTGATGCAGGCCAAGGAGACGTGAGCTGAGGCTCGAGATTCTGCATTTCTAACATGCTCCCGCGTGCTGCCGGTCCTTGGAACAAACTGAGGAGCAAGATCTGGAAGTTCTAGCTACCCAACAAGAGGTTCGTTGAAAGGCAGATTTCAAACTGTTGAGAAAGACGCCTACATGAAAGGTGAATGAGCTTTTCGGAGGTACTGTGCTGGGAAACCTTTCTTGGGGAGTGAAACTTTAAATAACTTTCTTCATCTCTCTTCACTTTGACCTCTGGCTGCAGTGGCTTGCAGACAGGTTACCTCGGCTTCTGTACCCCACATGCTCACCTGCTGGTCAGGTCTCATCTAACCTGCTCACACATTCCCCAGGGAATCTGAGCCAAGCCATTTATGGATAAATGGACCTTATAAATCATCTGCTCAGAATCCCCCAAATGTAGATATCTAGATATTGCTTATAAATAGGTCTCACTCTAGAGGCAGACTACTGTTGAGGTTCCAAGAACATGGAGTTATCACAAGCCCCAGGCGAGTGTGTTCTACACTGCGTCCTCCCCTCCTCCCACTGCTGTAAGACACCACTTGGACTGAGAGGCAGGGGAGAGGGAGAAGACAGGGCCAGAGAATATTTCCACACAGCTCTGCTATTTCAGTAAAAGCCCAGACCTGTTTTCCTCCTGGGATGGCCAGAAGCTGGGTAATGACAGTCTGTCTGATGTAGGACTCTTAGCATAGTGACTCATCTTGCAGCCCAGCTAACTTGAAGGCCCATGCAACTGATCAAGACACTTACCTGATTCCAGAACCATTCTTTCCTCCCAAGTCTGACCGAGACATTTGTGAATTGACTTGTGGTGACTGTGTGCCTCTGAGGACTGAGATGGAGTGATCTCAGACACCATCATCTTTCTTAGGGGAATTTTTTTTGTGTGAATTTGTATCACATCTGAGTATAGAGCATGAAAGAATAGAGCTCTATGCACAGTGGATGCAGTTTCCTGTGAAACTGGTTTGTGTGGGTTCAAACGTTGCTGTGGGGTGCCCACAATATGCACTTTGGATCAAACAGACCACCCTTTCACTGCAGAAGGCTCGACCTCCCTGTCCCCACTTACCTGTCTGTTGGATGTCTGTGACCTGCCCTCACTGGGAGACCTGGACTGACGACGCTCTGGAGACTCCCAGTCAGCCTGGGCCCCCCGCTCCTCTGAATTGCAGCGGGAGACATCAGGAGAAAGAAGATGCTTACGCTCTTTCGACCGTCCCCGTTCTCTGCCCCCTGAGCGGTGGGTGTCAGACTTGTGGCCTGTGAGGAGACAACAGCAATCATCATAACACAGCTCACCCCATCATGGAAGATGAGGAGAGGTCTCAGAGCTGGGAACCCACTCCCAAAGAAACCTGGCTTCTCTGGGCATGTCCATGGGTGGTCTGAAAGGGTGGCAGGAGAGAAAGGCTCAAAGCACCCTTTTGTGAAGAGGTGAGTGTGCAAACTGCCACTGGAAAGATGTACATGTCAAAGGAGTATTTGTTTCTTAATACTAGATAGCCCAAGTAAACATGGTAACACTTGGTGGGAGGGATGAGATGTACCAGTAAAAGGGAATTAAGAAGTTGCTGAGAACTAAATTAATGGAACAGCTAACATAATGTCAGGGATGAGAACCCTGGGATTTGTTCTAGTCAAAGAAATTCAGTTCTAGTCCCCATTCTGCTGCCTAATGGCCCTTGTATATGGGGCACATCACTGCATTTGAATCTTGGGGTCCTCATCTAGTAACATAAAGAGGTTGAACCAGTCTAAGGATTTTCTAACTCTTGGCCAAAATGACTCCTTGTCTTTAATTTACGTTTTGAGCTTAGTTTTTTTTTTTTAGCAGAGTTGGTGGTTAAAGTCTAGCTCCTGCTTGGGGAGGGGGGGGTCTACCTGGGGAATCCCAGTGACTTTACAGAAGGCCATTGAAAATCCTAATTTCTGTAGCCCTACTCTGGAAGAGGGGAATTCTACTAGCCTTTGTGATGAACAGAGAGGGCTTAAGGGACCCGTGTTAGCTAATAGAATCCCCTTTTCTCTTTCCTCTTGCTTGCAGAATGGACTGTCAGGTCAAACAGGAAAATCCTCTCACCTGAATCTGAGTTCAGGCGATGGGCTGACAGTCGTAGGGAGGAGTGGTAACTCCGGCGGCGGGACTTGTAGGTGTTTTCACTACTTCTCTCCATGGAAAACTCCTCCAGCCATGAGGAATTGGACCGCTTATCCCGAATAGTGGAAAAGGATCGCCTCATGGAGCTGGGATCTGTCACCACCTAGAAACATGAGTCCCCAGTGGAACACAGGTATAGATTAATTACCAAAGGATTTAAAAGTATAGAAGTGGGACTGAGGTTCTTAAAAACAAAAACTGTAACCCCTACAAATGGTAACATCCCTTGAATCTGTCTTTTTCAGACCTTAGCTGAAGGAGGCTGAACTAGAAAATGTCTTTATGTCATAGCAACATAGTTCTTTGGGAGGGACCCTGTCTTCTCTTTGTGCTCAGGAGAGCACACCCCCTACTCAGCCATCTACAACAGGGGTTCAGCCAGGACCTGCAGTGACCCTTCGATCCTTTTTTGTTTCGCTCTGCCAGAGAAGGGCCTATGTAATTTAACAGCTGCAGTGCTCTCCATTATCAGTCCCACCTTGCCCTGTCTTAAGCTCTCCTGTTTTGATTTGCTTCTACTGTTCAAATAGATCCACAAAGTTCTTGTCTCTGTCAAAGCTGGATGTAAGACAGACAGACAGAAGATAGAAGCCAGGAAAACAGACAAAGAAATGAGGCGTGGCCCGCACTGGTTAGGACAGACAGTCCTGAGACAGAGGTGCTTATGTAGGTGGCTACATATTTGCTGAAAGAGCCAGGAAATGGGGAAAGGAAGGAAATCCACCAGGGAATTCTAAGATCTGATATGGCTGGTTGCGTCTTGAGGATGTTGTTGCCAGGGAAGAGGCTCTACAGAGAGGTCCTTGTACCAGATTTTTGCATATGGAGTGGGGAGAGGGGGAGAGTAAGTCAAGCGCTCACCTGAAAATATCAGATGTTATTTTATAACCCACCGAGTCAATACAGTCTAGGATGCCACTGTGTGTGATAAGTGGTGGTTGCTTTTTACCTGGGGATCCATAGTCAGACGTGGCATAGAGGATGCCCTCCCAGATCCCGCATGCTCCTGGGTGTCCGAAGGAATGTAGATGCCATGGTTAGAGGGCTGCACGCTTTTTAATTCACTAACCTCTGGCTCCTGGAAATAAACACACAGCCAAGCTTGTGGGACTTGGTTCCATCTCATTGCTTCTCGTTTCCAGTGGATTATTCTGCCTCCTCCATACCAAAAATGGCTTTTAGAAGAGAGACATCTTTCAGGTTGCTTGTTTGTGTCTATGTGTGCACAGAGGTGGTACACCAGATGTCCCAAACTGAAAGCTCAAACTGGGATTGAAGTAAAGACCAACTTTTCTACTTTTATATCATCTTACCAGTAAATAATACTTCATATTTACAGTTTTGTGAAACACACTACTGATCATAATACTTCTTCAATGTGATGTTTACTTTATAGTCTGAAGAAGCCATTTATCAATTAAATAGGAATGAAATAGGAATCAGCAGTCTAAGGAAAGCCACTTCCAGATGCCATGTAGTTAATAAAGCCATGCCTTAAGGTTTAAGAAGGTAAGCTTTCTTATAGTTAAAAACATCCCAAAATAGTGATGCTACAGTCTGACAGCAATGTAGGTGCACATGACTTATATAACTTAAAGAAATCCATGAAGTTTATTTAACCCAATACATCCAAATATACACATGCCTACATATAATCAATACCTAAAAATGAATGCCATTTTACTATTTTTTTAATACCAACTCTATGACATTGGTTTGTATTTTACACTAATAGCTCCTCTCAAATTGAGTCATATTTCAAGTGCACAATTACTACATCATGTGGTGGTTGCTACTGTACTGGCCAGTGCCCCTCTACAGAGTTAGGAGGTTGGTCCTGTCCAATTTTGTTCTTTTCCTGATTAAAGAATGTTAATTGCAAGTGCACATCCTCTATATAGCTAGCTCATGTCACTGCATAAAGAATGGAGCTGAATTAGAAATATTTACATGAGCCACCAAATAAAGAACATCTTGGAGCTTATACCAGGGAAGAGGGAAAAACTATTTTCTGCTATTCTATATTTAGGAAATGACACCCAAAGAACACCGGTGCAGGAGTAGGGCACTGCTGAAAGGAAAGGTGCCCCCTCCCCACAGGCTCCATGACCATTTGCTTAAATGGTGCTGTGTGAAGGCGGGTTGGGGGAGACTGCTTTGTGTTCTCTGGGGGGACGTCCGTGTTGGGGGGGGAGACGCTTTGTAGAGCACACAGGTCTGACTTGAAACACATGTGGTAACACACACCCCATATGCACGCACACACATTATGGCCACGCCTCAGGACGTGGAGCAGGGCCCCAAGGGATGGGCAGGAGCACACAGTGGTGAGTGCATAGCACAGGCTGACACTCGGATTGAATTACAGACACCAGTACTGACAATGACATGAACACAGATCCAAAGAGTCCTGGCACTACGGCTCAGCCCTGGGGAACCCGCAGAAAGGATGGAGGGAAAAAGGCTGCCTGTGAAAGAAAGGACACATTATTGAGATGTTTCCCCACCAGAAACACATCACTTGGTTCGCAAGCTGTAAAATGCTGAGAGGCCCTTTTACAAATCTCCTCTATCAGTTAGTCCCTGGGCATCAGGTTTCTCGGGGGGAAGAAGGTGGGGAATTATGCCAAGGATGCCTGCCCCGAGGTCCGGGCTAGCTGTCTGCCCAACACAGCACAGTTTCCTGTGTCAGCAGTCACTGGGGATGTGATCTGCCCTTCTCAAGGGTGCTCATCCCATCAGATATGCACCCCACAAGCTGGCCACCCCCTCACCCATTCAGGATGGCCTTGAGGTACTGCAGTAGTGGGGAGGGTTAAAGATACATCACAGTGGATTATAATCAAAGCAAAGCAGAATTCATTTAGCACTTGCTGTCTGGGTGGGGTTTTGCTCATGTTGGGCTTTGTCTTTTTCTCCAGGCCAGTATACACTTGGCTTTCATTCTATGATCTCATGTCTCTTGAGAATCACGGTAACGTTCATTCGTTCTGAGAATCACATCATCCTTGTATTAACAAAATATAATGTTCAATTTGCCCTCTTTCCCCTCAGCTCAAACTTGGTGCAATTGGTTGTTCAGGGATTTTACCAGTTACACTATTCCCCCCTTTAGGGACTTCTGAGAATGTATTTGACCTTCTATCATTGTGACTAAATGGGCCAGTTTGCCTGCACTGAAGGACCTGCTACCCAGGGTCTCTAGAAGGGCTGGTTTGAAAAATTTCCCGTGTTCCCACAAGTAGCCCAGTTAGTACCACTTCTTCTAGGACAATTCTTCTAAAGCACCCTACATCAAAGGCAAGATCTTATCTGTGATTTTTGCTTCCACAATCCACATTAAAGGGAATCACCTAAAAAGACTGGCCCAGAAGCACTCTATGTCCCTGCAACAGGTCAAGGGCCTCTGGGACTGTAGTAATTGTAGAGGGCAGCTGTCAGAAGCTAATGGGAACTCAGGAAAGGAGGAGGGCAGGAAACTCCCAGGGTCAATGGCTGGACTATTAAAAAAGGCCCCAATCAACCATGGTGATGAAATAGAATTTGAGCAGGGAGCGATCAGGAAACCCTGGAAGTATCTTTTGAGGTCATGTAACTCATTGATTCACCAGAGACTGCTGTTCCTGGAACTGTCCATCATCAGCTGGGTCCATACAAGCCAACTGGAATATTTCCTGGGGAGAGAGTGGACTCATCGACGTGTATCCACTACGGCCACTCCTGAAAAACAAGGTCAAACTCAGAGGTAGTGTGTGTGTGCGAACCAGAGAAACTGTCACGCCAGCTGCCGCGTCCAGCCCCTCCCCTCCCCAGACAAGACTTCCTGATGGCTTGTGAGCCTGGTGTGCCTCTGGAGAGTTGGAAGATTGGGATGGAAATCTAAGGTCCTGTGCAACTATTTTTCTGGTTACTGGGATATAGACTAGGTTACTAGCCCTAGATCAGAAAAATAAAAAGGAAAAACAGCATTAGAAAAGAGAAACCACTGCTTTCAACCTGCATATGGAACCACTCATTCTGCTGGCGACTAGCATATCTGTGACAAATGACATCATTTGTCACACTGAGCCATATGGAAGACCAGTGCTAGATTGTAAACTTGTTTCTGCTCAGTTTCTCCAATCCAGCAGGAAAATGCCATAGTTTAAATAGTGAACAGTTTGTTTAAATATTAAGTAGGCTTGGTCTTTCAACAAATTTCCTCCACATTCAGTAAGAATAAGCATTTATTTTAGTGTCAGTATTGCTGGCCAAACCAAACATGTCAATGTCATGGACACTGTGTGAGTGGGTTTGTGACCATCAGTGGGGTGGTTTCAGAAGGGGGTCTAGCTGGTAGCATTGTGTGGCCAGGGGGGGCTCTGTGGGAGGATGTTTCAATGGTGCTAAGTGGCTAGGGGCCTCTGAATGAAAGCGATGGGAAGTGCCACCTGTTAAATCACTGGCATTGCCAGACTCATAGCACAAGGCAGAGCCAGCCAATCTTCCGTGAGATGGTGGTTGCTTCTGCTTCTCTTAGAACAGTTACCCTTACCTACCCAGGGGTGCAGAGTGAGTGGGCAGTGCTGGAATTAAGAGGGAGAGATGGAGCCCCATTTCTCCAGTGTCAGTCTTCTGTTCCGGGGAGTGCCATGTCCTTGTGGCATCTACTGCTAATGGAAAACTCAAGGCCTGCTACTTACTTAGTGTGATTCACAGGGGCAGCACCTGACTGGGATCGCAGGGAGTGAAGTGGACAGCAGAGAACCCCAGAAACCAGTGCTGTTGCTGCCATGAGCTGAATTTTCACAACTGCTCCAAAGGGACTGACCTTTTAGCAGGTCATTTGTGTCCTCTACCTCAGTGTGCTCCTGAGAACTGCTGGCAACAGGCTGTATAAGAAATGGGTCCCCCTTGTGCAACAGAAATAGGTAATTGCACAATTACCCTTGGAGTCACTGTACAACCACGTAGAGCTGAGTAATATGCACTCAGAGTGACCTCTTGCTTTAAAAACTTCACAGGAAAACACACCAGCTACTAAATGTGGCCTCTCTGAATGGACTCTGCCTCACCAGCCACCCCTGTGCATTGGATTCTCGAGGAATCTCTCCACCACTCCCCATCCTGGTCAGCTCTCCCCTTCACACACATCGAGGTCATGCTGCATTTTTTAATGTCTACCACTTACCAGATGTGTAATTAGATCATTGAAAATGACAAGTTTCCTTCTTTCCAATAATGGGTTCTAGAGCCAGACCCTGTTGTTCCACTGGGCCCCTATTTCAGAAAATGTAGCAACAGCCACTTAAAGGCTCAAACCAGAAACCCAAGGTCATCTTTGATTCCTCCCCTCTCCATGTAGCAAATCAGACACCAAATCCCATCCACTTTAGGTATTAAATATCTGTCTGACCCTCTCTCTGCACTTCTGTCCTGTGAGTGCATGTCGTTAATAATTTACACACTTGCCATCCCGTCTTCTGAACTGTTCCCTTCTGATCCACTTGTCCACACTGGATTCAGTGATCCTGAAAAGCCCCAACTTGATCACATCAGTCTGATGTGTCAAATCCCACATCTCAGAGCAAACGTGCCCTGCTTGTAACACCCCAAGGCCTGGTCCCTGCACGCTCCTCACAAGTCATCACCTGCCCCCTTAGTTGAGTTCCCGCCATCTTGAGCCCTTTGCCTTTGGGTCTCAGGGTACCCCCCTGGGGAGGCCTTGGGAGTACTGTGAGTAGACAAACAACAAAGGGTCAGTGTTGCCACTTTATGGAGGAGCTGGAGTGATTCATCCAGGGGTGGCTTCCTTTACATGGTGCTGCCATGGCCCGACCTTGGGCATTTCAGCCATCATTTTGAGATTGCTTTGGTAGGATTTGTCTCTTGTGTTGATGGCTGAATCTCCAGAGCCTGTGTCTAATTTTGGGTCACACTTGTTCTCAATAAATCTTGGGCTGACAGATAAGTTTGAGCGATCCAATGGTGAGTTTGTACAGGATGTTGTGGAGAAAACGGATCTAGATGAAGGCTGCACTCTGTTTCGTAAATCAACACCCTTACAAAAAACCTTTCCAATGAGGTGGTCCACTGGGAGATGAGAGTCTGTTGGGGGTCTGCAGATGGGACACAGGAGACGCACTCTGCTGCTTCATTCAGCAAATGTTTATACAAGTGAATGGGCCTTGGCCTGGTCCTGGCTGCCACGGCTCTTCTCTTCCAGCAGTATTGGGTTGTGACTGCTGCAAACATCGCTTCTCAAACATGGGGCTCCAACACCACAGGCAGGAAGACATTTGGACGGAAAGGTAACAGGAGTGCTATAGTGGGTCGTTTAAGACTAAGCCAAATTGGGGCTCACGAGAAGTCCATCCTGGATTAACTTTTTGCTTCTTTTAACTTTTTTTTTTTTTTTGGTGTGGGCCTGATCTAAGATTCCTTTTGTTCTTTGCAGACCACAGTGCAATGGTGGCAAGACTCTGGACTCCGAAGATAATGGCTTTAAATTCCAGTTTAGCTTCCTACCAGCCAAGTGGCTTTGGACACCTTCCTAAGCCTCTGTTAATGGTCTCTAGCTCCTTCATAAAGTGATGACACTGACACAGGCCCTGTGTTCTCTGTCCACTCACCGTGCTTTTTCTCCCTTACCCCCAAGAAAGACCATAATGACCATCTTGGAGAAAAGCTCATTCAACCCAGAGCTAGGAATTTCTTGGGCACCTTAGGGTGATCGGCTTTTGGGTCTCATGAGGGATGGTTGGCTATCCTCACTGTCATACTCACAGGCCTGGGTCCTGCTGGAGATAAGGCAGGGCTTTGGCATTAGCAAGGATCTCCTGTGGCAGGGAGGAGGGCTCCATGCGCTGGAACATGGGTGCGTTTTTCTGTGTCACAAGTGGGAAGGAAAAAACAGGAAGTCGGCTGATTATAAAGGGAGATACTGCTTGCTGTTGGGGTACAAGAGGCACTTGATCCATACTTGGAGTGATCAGCTTACTCTTTTGACAGGCTGGCTGGGGTTTTCATCCCACAGGTTCTAATCCCCCTGCCCCTCCCCACCTGAGCTCTGCTACAAACACTTCCTGGGCACCATCTCCCTGGTATGCACAAGCCTGTCCCTTTAGGGCCCTCAGAGCCCACCCCCCATGTTGTCATTGACCCTTACCTGCTCTTCCAGCTGCTGCCTCTGCTTCTTCACCTTACTCTGCTTGTAGTAGTCCATGATCATCATGGCTGCATAGATTTTACCCACAGTCAGGTCCGAGGCTAAAAACAAATGTGGAATAGAGGAGAGTCGGAGGCCTCACAAGCTTCCATCCCACTCTCTGAACATGTGTTTCTCAGCCACGTGTCTACCCAAGGGCTTCCTTTGGGCTGGGCACTGGGGGTACAAAGTGAAGGGGTCCTCCTACTTCCACAGCCCCCAGCTCTGGTGCTGATGTAAAAGCCGTGCATTTGTAAGCATCATCTCCCACTGGCCTAGATCTCTGCCTCTATGCATAGCGCCCTTTTCCTAATGGTGTGAGGCCTTGCTGAGCAATATTAGATGGAAGGGAGCAAACTACACACGTAAGAAGTTTACCTGCTACTGCAGTGACCTATCTTGAGAAAATGTCTTTCCATTACCATACCAAAAGGGACTTAAGGAAGGATTTAAGTTTCCTAAGGATAAAAGAACAATCTCCCCTTATCTCCTTAATCACTGCACCTCCCCACCCCAGAGATGCAGCCTTGGGTGTGCAACCATCAGAGACAAGGATATGCAGGAGAAGACTCCACACCTTTGGGCATGGGCACCAGCAGATCTAGCATCTTCTGGGACAGGTGAGGCCAGATGGCCAGGGTCTCCTTTTGGAGCTCTGAGTCTAGCTGCTGCCTGTCCGCACCACCTAGGATAAGAACAGTTATTAATACTCAGAACAGACATAGAAATACCAAACCCCAAGGAGCGGGCTGGGGCAGAGCTGAGTCTGCAGGGCACCTCATTCTCGGAAGAACTCTTGGCACTTGGTGACGGCTGATCCTGCCATGGCAGGCCTTTCAGCAGAAGCAGCAGAACACACCTGGCTCCCATTTCCAGTGACTCAGGGATGCCCCAGGCCTCCTGAGACCTGACAGCAGCTTCCCCACCAGCTCCCAAAGCCCAGCAGGTGCTTCACATGTTAGAGAGGAAAATAAAAGCCAGCAGCCAGCCTCCCTGTCTCATTGTTCATCATCAGTACTAGCGACTTTGACTACGTGGTCTGAGTGACCTAATTTTGAAAAGGATTTGGGCCAGGCATGAGCAGAAGGCTGGAGGTCCATCTGGGAATCGGAAATTTTTTCTCTGCTAAAGCACTCACTTGGAAAGCAAGAGGTGCAAAGTGCTGTCATGCCAGGGTTCACCTCAGAAGCCTCCTGAGACAATGACACAGGAAGAAAAGGATGAGATTACAACCCATGTGTTCTGGAAACATATTTGCATGGTGCCTGCCAGGTGCCAGTCACTGAAAATCATCAACTGTTGAAAGCTGGAAGGTGCTTTCGTGATGTTCAATCCATCCATCTTAGGGGGAAGAAATGGTAAACATGTAAGTGACTGAAACTCAGCGGAGAGGCCAGGGTATGTGACCTCTGGGTCACTGCCTTGCTGGATGCCTCGAAGCTCATCCTTCTCCTCCTGCCACCACCCTGCTTGGAGTGCCCCAGAATCTTCCTCACCTCCCCAAGCTTACCTTTGGCGATTTTGATGTCCAGAGCTGTCCGAATCAGAGCCATCAGCGTGGAGGTGAAGTGGACAGTCATGTCCTCAGCTACAGGCATGTTCATCAGGACCAACCTCTGTGTGAAAGAGAGAAAAGCAGCAGCAGGAAAAAAAAATATTGGAAGAAATCTTGGTGAGAAGGGAAGAAAGGTGCAGAGGTCAAATGCAGAGACAAAAAAGAAGGGCAAGGATTCCCCAGCCCCCTCTCCCAATCCTACTCTTCCCACATCTTGTTGAAGGCTCATTGGTTGCTGTTTGGCTTTGTTTTGGTTTTTTTCCTACGGGTGATGCCAAATTGCAAGGGAAGGGCGGGGGGCAATCATTCTGCAGGACTCCTTCACGGTCCCCAGAATGTCTGTCACAGCAAAGGGAAGTGACTTGTAAAAGCAGCAGCAGCTCAGGGGAAGGAGGCAGCTCTGGGAGGTGGCCCCTTCCCGGTTTCCAGGCTGCCTGCTATTATCACTTGTCCCGCAAACAACCCCCAAACTCAGAGGGAAAGACAGTGGGGGCGCAGATTTTCCTTTGCTTATCTGACTTGAAAGATGCATCCTGATGCCCCCTTTTTGAGTCTTTAAAGATGGAATTTGCCAGCACGTGACTGAACATGCATAAGTCCAGCTTATCCAAAAGGGTGAGGTGGAGCGGGATGGACAAGGGAGAGTGCAGACAGGGACTCAGGGAGGGGGACTGGGAGGAGCAGAGAAGAGAGGGGTGAGCAAGGCAGGAGCAGAGTGGGCAGGCCTGGTTTCCCCACCCAAAGGACGGGACCGAACTGAAATGGCCAAATCCACTTTCCAGAGAGTATCTCGTTTTTGGAATCCTTTTACATCTTCTTCTAAACCCCGTGCCCCTTCAAGCTTCCTCCCAGAAAGTCACAGAACTCAGCCCCACATTCTAGCACCTGGCTCTTGGCTGTGGCCATCATGAGCAAAAAGGAGGCCGGGCCCCTGAGCTGTGCATGCGGAGCCGTGTCCTGGGGTGAGTCAGGGTTCCAGATGGCCCCCGTTCCACTGGGGTGCTCTCTGAGGCTACACAGCTGGGTGACAGCAGATGGTCCTCTGGCAGAACCATTGGTGTAGCCGGGAGGGACGTGTGTCCTCCCAGGCAGGGTCTCAAATACTCCACTGGGAGGGCTCGCCTGCCGTGATTCTCCAGACATCTCAGTGTCAGGTCAGTTTCCCTGAACATTCCCTTTGAGCCGTGGTTTCTCCTAGGTGAACAGAAGAGCTCCACCTTCTCAATGAATCTAAACACCAATGGGGTGCGCTAGGCAGAGCCACTAATATGTGGAGACAAATGCAGGCCCCAAAGCTGGAAACACCCCAATAGTAAGTGATCCTCAATGTTGCTCGGAGTAAGCCACAGGGACTCTACCTGCAACTCCGTGGGCCACACAGTCAGGCTCTAGAGCAGTCTTCACCTTATGCCCATGGTCACCCCCACCCTGCCCTGTATTTAAGAGTTTTCCTCCTAGAACTTTCTTCAGGAGCTGTGTTGAGAGGAATTTCTGTATGATTGCCTTTTGCTTGTTGGGTTGACACTGATGGATGTTTCTAGATATATGTGTATAAGCTCTGGTAGCTGGTTTTCTGTAGGCTTCCTTCTTGCCCATAGATGCTGTTCCACAGGCCACACTCTCCCTCCTCCAAAGGAAATGCACTAAACATTCCCTGGCTAGTGACCCACTCATGAGAAGCCAAACACTTGCAGAAACACAGAACAACACGTTAAAAAAACCCACATGGAAGAGCAGAGCAAGCCATCCCTGGGTCTTTCCTGCCTTACTTTTTCCTGACACCTCCATTTTAGCAGTTCTCGTTGCTTCCCTCCTCCACCTCCCCAGCCCAGCTTCCTCCCCATGTTCTGGCCTCCCCACAGCTGGACCCCATTTCCTGTTGGTCTGCCCAGAACAAAGGAAGGGGTGGTCTACCTTATATGCCACTTTGGAGGGACATCTCTTGCCGAGGCCTAGCGGTGGTGACATGAGAGTCAGCATTTCATACATCTCAGTATAATGGATGCGGCCACTGCTCATGGAGGGGGGGGCGTGGTGTTGGGATGGGGGCAGGGCGCAGGGTGGGGGTCGGCAGGGAGGTGGGGAGGAGGATGCAGACAGGTAGAAGGAGATCAGGCATTCCCAGAGAGCCAAAAAAACAAAATACAGAAAAACAAAATGGACAAACAGGAAAAGAATAGGAAACCTGTTAATCAAAGCAAATCATAGACGTGACTCCATCCTGGTGCAGATTTATATCACGCCCCACACAGACCCGGGAACACGGTGGCAGCCTTGGGCCCCTCTCTCTGCGCTATCAGGGGACTGGTTTTCTCCTCCTCCGGGATTAGCTTCCCTGTTCATGCCATCGGCATCCCCGTACAACATGAGGAGCTTGTTTACAATTCCCAGGGCTGTGTGCGAGCGGTATAAACCGGATAGACGGCGCTTCAGCCATGGGTTCAAACTTCTGGCCCCAGCTGGCCTGGAAGTCAGGCCTCTGCCCTCTGAACCCACAGGCGGAGCGTCGTGAATCCCTCTGCGGTGTGTGTGCAGCAGGAGGCGTTCACTTGCACTGAAAGTGGGGGGCTCTGGCTACTGGTGAGTCGGCCCGTTGCTTCCACCTGGCTCTGTGGAGAGAGAGCTCTTTATGCCCCGGCATGCCCCAGGGACTTGGCATGCTGGGGACAGAAGAAACAAAACCAGGAGGAGGAAGAGCCTCTCGCATGCCATGCTGCTGCCCTCCCTGGCTCTCCCCACATGCGGCTGCAGGTTCACCGGGCGGAGTTTAAAGAGTCTGAGCAGAGGCAGCTGTTAGGCCTCCCGAGTACAGGAATCACTGTCACCACCCTCAGTCGGTTCCTTCCCATGGCCCAGGCTGGCATCTTCCTAGGCCTAAGTCATCTTCCAGGTGCTGGGCTGTGCCAGGCCCCAAGGCCCGGGACCTCCTGCAGCACCAGGAGAGGGACCTGGCCTAGCAGGCCTGGGGTAAGGCTGGGCAGAGCCACTGGGATTTAGCATTCCCAGATGTGGCAGAGTTGGACAGGGAGGTCTTCTATGCCCCTGAGCCATGCCCTTGGTCCCTTAAATGAGCAATTCTTTGGCAATTATGACAGCTCTCTTGGCAACAAATGGTAGGACCCTCCGGTAAGAAGACTGCTAGGGAGTTCTCATCCTCTAGAGGCCTTCCCAGACCTCTGGGCCAATGAATTCTTCCAGACACCATATCAGTCGTCGGACCTACTTGCCCCTCTCACTTTAATGCTTTATTGTTTCTCACCTCCTGTCTGTCCTGGACATCATCACTTCTGGCCAAACTCACCAGAAGCCGGAGGGTGTTAGAGCTGGGGATGACCAGAGTCACACTGTGCTAGGGTCTGGATGTGATGACAAGGCTATTATGCCAGAAGGAAGGCTTCTGTCTCCAGCAAAGGGACACCAGGGCTCCTTGCTAGATTAAAGAGATGTCTGCATTCTTTGGAGGAGGGAAATTCCCTCTGATTAAGACACGAAGGGAGTCTATGTGTCTTTCCATGACACAAAGATGGAATTGAGGGCGAGAGTGTACACAGGTGAAGAAAAGGGAGAGAGGTGGGGTTGGCCATCATCACTAAGTCCTAGGTCTTATTTTCTGCCTCTGGACCCCCTCTCTTCTGCCTTAGGTAACAGCTGCTGGTTCTGGGAGGATCTGGACCTCTTTAAACTCAAAGGAAGCAACATGAAGGTCCCCTCATGTGGCGTAGTGGTGGTGGTGGTGGTGGGAAGGAGAGGAGGGGTCGGAGTTGCATCCCACTGCCGGCGTGGCTGGGGACTGGGAGGCAAACCTTGCAAGCCACCCTGTAGGGGCAGTTCTCTCCCAGGCCCAGAGGCGGCGAGATCACCCGCACTAATTTGTACATATCCTTATACGGGATCCTGCCACTGTAAAAGAAGCACAGGTGGGTTAATAGGACACTCAGTGGAGGGTGGGAGAGAAATGACAACTTAGCAATGAAGGAGACAGAGGAAGAAGAGCAGCTTCCTTCCTTTAGCCTGGCAAAGCCAGGCCTGGAGAGACTGACAACAGTAGGCATCAGAGAACCATCGCCCTGCCAGACTACACTGCCCCCATTTCCAAAGGAAATCAGAATCCCTCCAGTGCCCCCAAGGAATAGCCTGCTGACCGAGGGCACCCCGAGATACCTAACTGGCTCAAATCAGAGCCCTAGAGCAAAGCCTGCTAATTAACAAAGGCCTCTGTCGGCGGCTGGGAGGTGAGTGCAGAGCTGCTTGCTTTCCAGACACTGAGCACACACTCAGGCCTGCTCTCAGGGACAGCGGGGAGGCAACGTCTTTCTGCAGACTGCAAGAGACGAATTTCCCATTAGGCTAATGAGCAAGGAGCATGGTTGGTAGGAGGGGACATTGCAAAAGATTTGTTTTGGTTGGTGGCAGATTTTTCCTCGAGTTCAGTTTGGGCAGATTCTTCTTTGCTTATAGGCACTCACTGGGAGCCGTGCAGCCAGGGTGGGGGCCAAGGACATAAGCTCCCCACTCCTGCTCAGCTCATGAGCAGCTTGGTTGGATCTAGTCAGAATTGCAAGAGCAACGTCACCTTCCCATGAACCCACTAGATTTCTGACCTGTGGTAAGGGGATAGACTCAACAACTGATTCATTTTTCAGGGGACTGAACAGGGAAGTAACAACCAGGGAGCCACAGGTCCGGACACCTCTCTGTATGGACTGGGAAATACAGCCCAGCTTCTGAGCACCAGTCCTTGCCAGCTGCCATGGGCTTCTTTGTCCCAGTCTCTCTTCAAGCCTGTCCTAGATTTTCATGTTGATTTGGTGTCCTTTTCTTCCCAGTAACAGTCCATCAGTACTTCCAAGCCTCTCGACTCTTGGAAGGAGGCTAACTTAATGATGTGTTTGATTCTTGACGACCTAGACTTGTTGTCTTGCTGAAGAGGATGCTTCACTTTGCCTTGGTTAGACTTTCCACTTTGGATCTCTTAGAGAAGGCCCATGAACGCCAACCAGCGGGAGTTATAAGGGATCATTTCGCTGCACACAGCAGAGGTGCGGCGTTGTCTTTATGCTCTTTTACAATTCAGGTGTCTGAACGTCATGAATGGTCTTCATGAAAAATTGTTTCTTCCCAGCAGCAGGAATGAATGCGGAGGAACATGTTCAAAGCACATAGCATTTGGTTCCCCAAATAATGTGAAACCACAGGAAGCTGGAGTTTCCAGGTGCTGAGGACACCTGCTGACGCTAGGTGAGCAGCGCCCTGCTTGGTTGGGGGTTGGTGTCTCTCAACTAAGTGAAGAGGGCCCGCCTTTGGCTCGCAACCCTTGGTACAGACACTGATTTTCCACACTTCTAGCTGCAGCCCCATATGGGCATTGTCAGTTATGACATGGGGACATCACTGAATACCTTTCAACATCAGTGGGTACGATACCCCTGTGTTGCAGGTGGAGTAAGCTTTGAGTGGCTGAGGGACTTACCGCAGCCATGGAGTGCCAAGGCACAGGCCTGTGGTGCCCCAGCAAAACAGTGCTCTGAGGGGGCTAAGGAGGGCAAGCCCAGGAGGTCAAGTCATGGCTGAGTCATCATAACAGGAACGGATTTAGAGAACCCTGTGCCCTACGCCATTGATTACTGAGGGGAAGAGGGATCCAGAGTCCCTCCTCCCACTTCAAAGCTGTAACCCAGGTTCAACAAAATCCCAGGAGCACAGATTTGGGGAGAAAGTAGGGGAAAAGGTCTCAGATTATGAAGGGTTTCCAGGTGGAAGCAACGTGGTCTATTCCTGTGAAGGATGGCATTTCTTGTCGTGTTTTCAGAGGGGGACAAGAATGGAGATCAGTGAGGTAAGAGCTAAAGCTACAATGGCTTGTATAGAACAGTTTCTATGGCACACACGCACACAGAACTCTCACCCCGTCCTCAGACACCAGGGCCCAAAGTGTTGCCTTTGTGTTAGAAAGCAGAGAGCCAGCAAATGTTTCCTATAAAGGCTCAAATCTAAGGAAATAGTGCCTCTGCTTTGGAGTGTGAAAACAGCCACAGATAATACATGAATGAGTGTGGCTGTGTCCCAATAAAACTCTGTAAAATTTAACCCATGCGTTACAGTTTGCCAGCTCCTACTCTCAAGCCCAGAGGGCACAAAATAACGTGAGAACTACTGGCGAGTGAGGGAGACCTGGGAAGGTTATCCCTGCAAATTGCTGCCACTTAACAAAGTTCCATGAAGACAAATCCACTACTGTTTAAGGGATTAGTGGGAAAAACAACTTGCTTAATTTTTAAATGTAGTGTTAGAGTTCATCTTACACTATCCCTTTTGAGAGGAAGGAGAGAGATGAAACACTAGCATCCCTGGCCACAATGGCCAGCTGACCCACAAAACCCTCGTCAACCTCCCTCGGTGAATCACAGGCGCCTACTAACCATTGGTAGGGAAAGAAAGATGATGGGAGGGGACTCTGAGAATTGAACCCAAACACTGAGGGAAGACTGTGGGATGAGGTTGGCAAAGAAAGGGAAAAGCCCTGTCACAGAAGGAGGGAGAGGAAGATAACGATGCCAGAGCCCATCTGAGCACCTGGCTTCTCCCATGAGCCACACCATGCGCAAACTCCTCTCCTTCTGTGACAGGGGAACAATTGCACTGTTCCCTTGAGCGTTCCAGAGGCCCTTAATGTGGGTCCCCGAGGGGTGGCTGAGGGGCCTACACACCACGCAGCTCTGTCATATTCTGCCCAGACGCGGACGAACTCATCCAGGTGGTGAGGGCCCAGGATGGATGAGTCCCGAGTCAGGTACTCGAAGTTGTCCATGATGACAGCCACAAACAGGTTGAGCATCTGTGGGGCAAAGGGGAGAAGAGGACTTAGAGAGGATTGAAGGCAGAAAAATAGGCTTCTCAAGGCAAAGAATCCAAAAGTCCGTAGGGCTGACACTGCCAACTAAGGCATTGTGGATCGTGCTTGCACATGACGCACTTTCATTATTTGTGCCCCCAGTTGATTCTGTAGGGATTATGACTTCATTTTTCTATGCCAAAGTACTCCACAGTGGCTCTTATTATCTATTCAATTTATTTGTTAGTGCAGCAGCAGAAGCAGTGTTCACAAAGGCCAGGAAAAAAAATATCAAGGCCCAACACTGAGCCTCCCTCCCCAGCCTTCTCCCATCCTCGTTCACAAAGCAAACCAGCAAGAAAACTGGCCAGACGTCTTTGAGCTGAGTGCAGGGATATGGGTGTGAGAAGCAGACCCAAAGCATGGTTCTCCTGCTAAGTTATTCAACAGCATTTCTATGCACTGGAGCTGGGAGAAGGCATTTCCTGGAGACACATCTTCAGGCCTAACACACTGCTTAGAGCACAGTGGGCTGCCATTAGATATGGTTACTTGAGTATTCCTAAAGATTTATTTAATAGAATAAAAACTGACTTACACGGAAGCATTCAAATGTCTTTTTTTATGTGTCATGAAAGCCGCATATACAGGTTATAGTGGAGACAAAGAATGAAGGAAGTTACTCCTGACTGAAGGAAAAAATGTCTAAGAGCACAGATGCTTGAAGTGGATCCTCAAAGACTAGAAACTATTCAGACAGAGCTGGGCACAGAGGATGGCGGCTTATGGAGAGAAGCCAGCAGGAAGAGCACAGAGGTGTGCAGGCCAGGAACGCTCTGGCGACGGTAGGACACTATAACAAAGAGTCTAGAGCGGGGTCAGGGAACCGGCCAGGGAGCAAATATTGTAGCCTTTGCCAGTCATACTATCACTATTGCAACTATTCAGTTCCACTGTTGTAGCATGAAAGCGGCCACAGACAGTATGCATCAGAATGCATGTCTGTGTTCCAATTAAACTTTATTTGTGGACACTAAGATTTAAATTTCATGGGGTGTTATTCATCTCACCTTTTGATTATTTTTTTGCAATCCTTTGAGAATGTCAAAACCATTGCAAGCCTGTGGGCCGTCTAAAAGTAGGTTGTCGCTGGGATTTGGTCAGTGGAGACAAGGCTAGAGAATGATAGGAGGGGTGGCCACAGAAGTGAATGGACACAGTGAACAGCACCCATTTAAGGTACTTTTGGGTGCCCTTGCCTAAACCCAGTTAACAGGTTCCACGAGGCACCTATGACCCAAGTAATGAACCCCACTTTTCTGGGCCACAGTGTTGGATGAGCCTGACATTTTTTGAGCAGACTTGTTATAAGGACTGAGATCTAGAGATGCTGCTCCCGCCATGTCGGAGCCAGAGGATGGGGGTGTTTAAGACCTCACAGGGAAGAGGCTAATTAGAGAAAGAGGCCTGGTCCAGTCACCTGAGTCCCAGAACAAGCCTTGCTTGAGCCTAACCTACCCCAGGCTCTTCACATATGGAAGCCTATGAAATCCCTTTTTGTTAAGGCAAGATTTAGCAGGGCAGACTCATTTGCAAGTGAAGTCATTCTGCCTAGTAGAGACCGATTGACTGGGGTGAGGGAGAAGGAGCTCTGTGCCTAGTTCCCAGGTCAGGGGGCTGGCTGGAGAGAGGTATAATGAGGATACGGAGAAAGCCTGCAGGAAGGAGCTGGCTGGGGAGACAGCTGGAGCTCCCTGAGACAGAGACTGCACCCTAATAACCAGGCTCCTTCCTAGAATGCAAGTGGAAAGAAGCCTCGAGGTCAAGTTATTCTCTTCCCCTGGTGATGAGGGGCTCTCCCTGGAGGACCTCATGGGACAGGAAGGAGCCTCCATTACAAGCCTTCACACATCACAGACGCACGAGGGAAATAAACATCCTTTTGGGTTAAATCACTGTTAATAGGGGAATTCTGTTAAGTGCAGAGAAACCTACTTGTGACACGGGCCTTTCTTTCTGAAGCTGAGCTTGGCACCAAAGTGATTTTACTCAATCACTGCCTGGGTTCCCAAGGGTTTTCCATGTGTCCACACCTTTCTTCTACAGCCCTTTCATGGTATCTCTTATTAGCGTTAAGAAACACTATTAGTATTCTCATTGCTTTACAGCTGTATGATCGTTGCCAGGATGTTGTGGCCGTTCACAGCAGTTCTTTCTTTTCTGACCTTGGGAGGCAGGTTTAATTACTATACATCCTTCAAGGACCAAGTGCTTCCTAGGAGCGTCTATATTCTTAGTTCTAAGCTCTCAGCTGGCTGGCGCACCACAGGGCCTCAGTAAATCTTTCTAGAGCCCTTGGTTTGAATAGAGAAGCTGTGTGACTTGCCCAAGGTCACAAAGACAATCCCATGTAGGGCTGAGATTTAAAGCAAATCATCTCATACTGAATATAGCCTCTTTAAAAATAACATTAATGTGAATTATGCAGTACCCTCTATCTCAAAATTCCAAAAGTACCTTTAGAGTCCTAATTAATTTTCCAGCTTTATCTTTGGTTTCTTTTTAATTATTTATTATCAAACACTGAAACCATGCAGGCTAAAATGGAGATATCTCCATGCTCATCTCCATTTCACCCCAATCAGTGAGCACTGATACCCTGTATGTCTCTCCCCCTTTGCTGCAGGTGACAAGTCTAACTGCACCCCACTGGCAGCTCCACCCATGGCCTGGCTTGGTGTAAGCCTCTGAACACACAATAAGAATATGCAGAATGTACAATATGTGAGCGAGCAAGCTTAAAATGCCAATTAATATCACCTTAGGTTTCCTTGCAGATATTTCCACTCTACATTCTACTTCTATATTTGTAAATAGGATACTGGACTATGTTCTCTTTTTAGCTGGAAAAACCTTTCAGGCCTATGAGACAGAGGTATAGGAAAACACATGTATCAGCTCACTGTGGAAATACACTAATTATCAAATCATTTCTCTTCCCGTTTCATAGAAACCACAAACGGGAAGTGTCCTAGACAAGACAGAGCAGCAACACAGCCAAACCACACTGAGGGCTACTGAGTCTCCCATTCTTTCACCCCCTGCCACATTAACCTGCCCCCCATCCTTGACAGTCTAGCTGCGGGACCCCTCCCTGCACATGTGGCAGGTGTCCTGGGGTCACTTTCCAGAGGCAGAAATGCCCAGATGTGAGATGATTCCTTTACTTCTAAAGCACAGCCACGACACTGGCCACTTTTGGTGGCATTGCTTTAGCGTTCGACGTTTGTATAGCTGGTGGCTTTAGCCATGAAGCATCACCAGAAAGGCCAGAATGAACACTTACTGGCCTGGAAGCTGTACCCCCATTCTTGTTTTTCATCACTTGTGTGATAACACAGGATAGAGATTTCTGGATGGTGTGTGCTGATTCATCCTTTCTCCCAGAGAAGGAGTGAAGGAGGCACCTAGGTTGTTGCCCCATTTTACAAGTGAGTGTGCGCCACACATATTACTCAGTATTTACTAATGCCTGAAGCAATCACACCCTGTCACGGCTATCAAGCTGGCCAGTTGTCTGCAAACATGGTAACATCTCAAGTCAAGAGAGAAGCAGACCCGCTGCCTCATACACTGTGCCACCGTCCTCCTGTTCACGCCTGTGTTATCAAGGTGCTGCACGAAGAGTTTACAGGTCTCCAGAAGAGAGAAGATATGCTTAGCCCTACTTACAAGATGCATGAGGGACGGAAAGAAAGCATCAGCCCTGGGTCAGAACCTCTTTTCTGCCAAGTCAGGTACCCTTTGCCCTAGGTCAACAGCCTGAGAGCCCATCTGGGGAAGTGTGCCTTCCGCCCAGCCAGGGAAGGGGAGCCTGCAGGCTCAGCCTGTGGGTGGGAGGGCAGTGTATCGCTCAGGGCTGACTTGCTGCCCTCCCATTCCTGAGATGCCCTAGCCCAGGAAGGGCCTAGAAACAGGACTGTCCAACAGGAAGCTCAGTGCCCTGCTCACGGAGTCCTCCTCCATGAGTCCTCCCTTCCCACAGCCACCCTTCCTGGGAAGTGGCATACAGGGGCTCAACCACCTGTGGTCAGCCACCCACATGGGATAAGCTGGTGCTTGGGAGCTCTCTTGCGGAGGATCAATGATTTTGGTGTTGCTTGCTTTTTGACACACACATAGAGAAGGTGAGAGCACGAGTGGAGAGATACTGAAGGGCAAGAGGGGAGGACAGAGAGGAGGAGGGAGAGAGACAGGGGAGGGAGGAGGGAGAGAATACAGGAAGAGAGGACTGAAGAGAGAAGGGAGATGAAGCACACAGCGGAGGACACATCGCCTGTCTCTGTCAGGGTGGCTGGGCCACATCCCAAGCCAAAGGTGCAGCGCGGCTCACCAGGAAGGAGCAGAAGAAGATGAAGGAGACAAAGTAGACATAGGCCAGGTCGGTGCCGCAGCGCTCGTTCTCGCTCTGGCCCGATGGCGCCGTGGTGTCCGGCTCGCAACCCTTCTCGCCGAGGCACGACAGCATGATCTCCTGCCAGGCCTCGCCGGTGGCACTCCTGAGGCCAACACACACATTGGTAAGCAGAGGTCTACACGGCCTGGCTTGTCTGTCACCCGCTTTCTCAATTCTCCTGTCCCTCACCCTTGCTGCAGCCTGGCAGGTCTCCTCCCTCCCTGGTTAGCCACTCTGGTGCTTTCCGTGCAGGAATGGAGAGGCCAGTGAGCTCTGTCTTGGGCTCTGCTACCTCATCTGATTCACTGCTGATGGATGTGGAGGGTGGTAGGACCCTCTAAAAGCCCACGTCACCCTGAGCATCCAAGGTGTCAGCCCTTAAAAGGAATCTGCTCCATGAGGAACTGCCCTCGCCTTCATCCCAGCCCCGGAGGACAAGCTGAAGCTGTTAACTTGCAAATTAACTCCTGAGTCTAAGATATTAAGGAGCTTATTTATTAGCATAGGTTTATTTTTACATTATTTTGTGCCTTTTTCTATCTCAGTTGTAATCCCCGTGGGCTTCCCATCACCAGTTCATCCCTGTGCCATCACCATAGTCCCGTGTACTCCCCCCCCATGTTTGATCCCATTCCCCACTCCACTCATATAAAATGTCTCTGGTAGATAGTTGTTCATCATTATTATTATTTCCCCCTCATCCCCAGTCCTTTATACTACTGCTATGAGTGAAGCCATCCGGTGTTTTTCTTTTTGGCTTATTTCACTAAGCATGATCCCTTCCAGCTCCTTCCATGTTGCTGCAAAAGGCATGAGCTTATCTTTTTTGATTGCCGAGTAATATTCCATTGTGTATATGTACCATATCTTTTTAATCCCGTCATCTACTTTTGGGCATCTGGTTTGATTCCCTGTCTTTCCTACTGTAAATTAAGCAGCAATAAACATGGGGGTGTAGGTGTCTTTTTGAATCAATGTTTTTGATACTAAGGAACTTTTTAGCAGCATCAGGACATCACCCTCCACCCCCAACTCCCACTGCCTCTCCTGACAGGAGGAGAGGGAGCAGAATGACAGACAAAAAGGACCGGGAGGAAGAAGCAGACCAACTCTGTGTCCCTGGGCAGGAGTAGTCCAGCCATGATGGTGGTACCTGAAGAGAAGCATGAGAGATCCAAAGAAGCTCCGGAAGTTGTTGTGCCGGTTGATGTGACTCTCCTCGTCTAATTTTATGTTTCCAAATACCTTGAAGAAAAAGCAAGAGAAAACCCTGAGCATCATTGAGCAGAGTGAGACATCCTGTACAGTGGTGTTAGAAGTGCCAGCAGGGAGGGCGAGTCCCGGGCACATCCCTGCTCAGCAGCCCAACCCTGGAGCAAACACCTCAGGCTCAGAGGCTACAGCCACCGGGCTCTTAGCCTGCTAGGCAGGAGTCACTGTATTTCCCCTCCTCCCGAGCTGCAAAAAGGATGGCTGTGAGCAAGGACCATAGGAAGCAAGATCTTCTGAAGTCATTCTGCTTATGTGTATTTTTCCTCCCACACCTAATCAGGTCGTCTTATTTCCATGGTACCTGTCACCATGGTACTCGAACAGTCTGTCAAGGACATTATCCCACAATCGGAGTGGAGGGAAACCTTTGCCCTCTTCTTAGGTAGAATGATGGGGACAGCTGTATCTGCAGATGTGACTGACAGCTAGGTCAGGTGCTGCTGTGGACCTGGGAGTCACTTAGTCTCACCCCTCTATGTTCCTTGGCTGTTCTTATCCAAAGTGTCAAATCTCACAAGGTCAGTGCGGAGCCTCCACAATGTGAAGCCACGAGAAGGAACACACAAAATGAGGCCTCAGCTAACGGTGAAGAGTCAGGACAACCCAGAAAAGCAGATTTGGGCACCTTTGGCTACAGAGAGCATTGCTAACCTGCTGCTGGTCGCCAGGTGCAGAATGTGGTCACTGCGAATTCACACGAGAAAAGGAAAACTGAGACCTTTATCTGTACAGTGAATAAAGGCAGCCTCTCTAACAGCCAGCCCCACAGCCCTTAGACAAGAAGGGGGGCCTCACAATTGCCATCCTCCCCCAGCCGTGTTGGGGCACCAGGATCTGTTCTTACAAGTCAATATTTGTATACAACCTGAAGCTCACAGGTCACTTTCCAACCGCTGGAGATAATCTTTTGCCTATATTTAACATCACTTTATCTAATATATGCTAAATGGAACACATTTCCCCCCCCCTCACAGTTTCTAGAATGTGCAATTGAGGAACAATCTCTGCCCCCAGCTATTTTGCTCAAATAACTCCCACTGACACCTGCTTTGGGAATTTGTTCTCAGTGCTGTTTTCCAAAACCCAAATACTACTTGTCTCTCAAGGAGAATGGAGGTGGCAAATGAAGCAGCCTTGAGGAAGGAGGGAAAGAAGAAGGTAAGAAGGCGAGAATGACCCCCACAAAAAGACATACAGTAGTACTGAGAAAAGTCCCGCCCAAACAAGCAAATCTAGATCCAGACACCCAGAGGAGAGCTTTGTGCTTACAGCTCCTTCTCTTCCTTTCACCGTCTTGGTTCAAAGGCCTTGATTTACTCTGATTCATTGCAGAAACACAACCTCCAGAGTTTTTCCTCCCTGTGACACTCCTGAAGCCATCATGACTTGTCCTCATTAAGGTTTCCTCAAACATAACATCCCATTATCCACCGGTGGGGGGGGGCAGGCTATGATTTCGCAGGAGGTATGTGTGCAATAGTTAGAGCAACCAAAGCTGTTCTGAATCGATCTTAAAATAATGTTCAAGTTCCGAACATTGTATTGTGAAGTTGTTCTTTGAAAGAACACATTTTTTCCCCCACTTTTTCTCAAGAAGCTTTTCACACAGTCCTTATCACAATCCAAATCACCACCAAGAGAAGGGTATGGGAAAGAAAGAAGGGACATACATCAAGGCCCACCAGAAAAGTATCGGCTCAATTCATTTTCTGTTGGAATCACCATATTGAGAGCTAGAAGGCCCCTGTGAAGCTTCCTGGTCAGGATGGGAAGGCCCAGAGAGGTTCAGTGACTTGATCAAGTTTGCACAGCTGGTAAGTGGCAGAGCTGGGGGCTGAGAGCCGCACCTGCTCATAGCCTGTAGATCTTGGGTACTCTCTCCGCCCTTCCTGCTTCAGGTTCCTTTACAAAGTTCAGAGCTCCTGGTAGCGCAGAATAGTAGCTCATCTCATAGACACAGTCTTTTGCCATTTCTGACTTTCCAGTGCTGGTCTCCTGCCCTTTTCTCTCCCTGTTTGTGTGGACCCCTCCTTTGTTATCACCACACTAGACACTACCTGTCTAGTAAGAAACCCGGTTACCTGCTTTGTACACAGCGCAGGGTCCTCTCAGGAGCCAGGATGAGGAAGGCCAGCGAAGGACAAGTCAGAGGGGAACATTTCATAAACGAACAGCTCCCACTTCCCACCAGAGGGTCAAAGAAATACTTTTGTTCGCTTGTTGGTGGGCGGAGAGGCAGGCCAGAATGAAAGATCATGGGCTGCAGAGTCGCCATAGCCGAGTTTCCATTCAGCTCTCCCATTTACTATCTGAGATTCTGGGTAGGTTATTTAATGATGCTAAATATCAGTGCAGACAATGAACCCACATGCGCACATCACCTGAATTCATTAGTCATGTATTTCGAGAGTGTGTGTGTGTATGGAAGGGGAGGAGAGAGGAGAGTGAGAAGAGAGGGATGAAAAAAGAGGAAACAAAGGGGAGGAGGAGTGGGTAAGAACACATTTAGCACCATGGCAGCAGGCACACAGGAATTTCAGTAATGGTAAATAGCATTATCCTGATTATCAATAATATTCTAACAGTTTAGTTTTGGAGATGGTGTTATTCTAGTTTATTTTGCTTGAAGAAAAAAAGTGAGAACCACTTTAAACGCAGTAAAAAAAAAGCTGTCAATCAAGTTTTCATGGAGCTACTCAAAAACATTTCATTGTACAATCAAATATTTGAACATCAGAAGGTACTTTGCAGAAATCACAAGCCCATCTCAAACTTCAGGAAGGACGCTGCTTGTAACACATCTGTGTGGTCTGGGTGTGTCTGCGCCAGACAAGTATACTCTGACCCCTGCTCCCTCTTTTTTCTTTCCCTCCTGAATCTCTCTACAGAGATATCCTCAATGAAGGGGAACTCATTACTTCTCAACCTAGATTCTCACTTTTTGACACTTGACATTCTATTGTATTTCGAGAGAACAGTCATAAGGTTAGAAGAGGAATAAAGTTCAGAAGTGCGGGGAGTGGAGACCTTTCAGCATGGCTCTGGAAAGGTGGCTGATGTAGCAGGCCTGGGGGCAGTGTGTGGGGTCCAGATGGCCGTCACTGTGGAGTGACAGCCGGTAGCACTAGGACAGTCAGCCTGCCTGATGATTTGTGCGGAGGTTCCGAATCAGTGTGCTCAAGTCAGAAAGTTAATTTCCCCAAGACAAGCAGTACGCCGAGGCACCCTGGCGCACACTTTCTTGGAAGGCACTGCTGGCTGTTTAAAGTAGGAATCCACCCTACACATGTAAGTTGCCTCTCTGCTCAGCAGACCTCTGGTTACCTGCATGTGTGTCCAGGGTGGGAACCTGATCCACTTCTCAGTTCAAAAAAGATGTGGTAGTCCAGGGGCATGGACTGGCAGGCTGCACAGGCCTTTGAGAGAAATTAGCTAGAACGCAGGTGCCCTTAGCAATGGGCCGGGAACTCAGTAGTTCACAGCAGTGGGTACAAATCGCAACCACTCAAGACTTAATTTAAAACACATTTTGGAATCATTGCATCCAGGACTTTTTTTTTTAAGACCTCGTCCAAATATGGGAGGTAGTGAGAAATGGATCATCATGAGCCTCCCCTCCCTTCTCATTCTCTTGGGGAGGGGATCCCTTTAGCTAAGAACAA